GATACATGAACTCTGTAGTCTTTGCCACACATATTTTTTGTCATTAAGCATTTCCTTTGTTTTCTTTTGCCTTAAAAAAAAAAAAATAACATGCTCTAACGAGTTTGGCTCAGTGGATAGAACACTGGCCTGCAGAGTCAAGGATCTGGGTCCCAGGTTTGATTCCGGTCAAGGGCATGTACCTTGGTTGCGAGCACATCCCCAGCAGGTGGTGTGAAAGAGGCAGCTGATTGATGTTTCTCTCTCATCGATGTTTCTAACTCTCTATCCCTCTCCCTTCCTCTCTGTAAAAAAATCAAAATATATTTAAAAAATAGCATTAGCACTCAAATAAATAAGAAAAATATAGCAGAATACCAATTTTAAAAAAGGCAAAAGACTTAAGCCATCCTTATAATTTTTTTCTTATAAGCAAGTCAAAATTTTAATCAGCATTCTTGGTAACCAAAGAAGTAAAATTTTGAAAAGTATAATTTTCACCTATCAAGTTAGCACAGGTTTTTTAAAAGATGATATCATGTTGGTAAGTACCAAATGTCCTAAGAATCAGTAAAAGGGGGAAAAATGCCATACAGCTAATACAAACCAAACCTAAGCATAAGGATGTACATCAGTTACAACAACAAAATACTAGAAATAAAATTTCAAAAATAAAAGAATGGTTAAGTAATTAAGTCATCCATAAGATGAATTATGTTGTAGTCACTCAATTATATTAAAAAAAAATACCAGCTTCATTTTATTGGGAAACACCAGGAAAGTGTTAATTTTTTTAATATATATATTTTATTGATTTTGTACAGAGAGGAAGGGAGAGAGATAGTTAGAAACATCGATGAGAGAGAGTCATAGATCAGCTGCCTCTTGCACACCCCCTACTGGGGATATGACCGCAACCAAGGTACATGCCCTTGACCGGAATCGAACCAGGGACCCTTCAGTCCCCAAGCCGACGCTCTATCCATTGAGCCAAACCGGTCTCGGCAATTTTTTTAAAAGCAAGTATGACATTCTACAATATGATTCTAACTTAAAAAAAAGTCCATTTATGCATAGAATATGAACTGGTGGTAAACTACCAGTATTTTCTTTTTCCTTTTTTAAAAAAATATATTTTATTGATTTTTTACAAAGAGGAAGGGAGAGAGATAGAGAGCTAGAAACATCGATGAGAGAGAAACATCGATCAACTACCTCTTGCACACCCCCTCCGGGAATGTGCCCGCAACCAAGGTACATGCCCTTGACCGGAATCGAATCTGGGACCTTTCAGTCCGCAGGCCAATACTCTACCACTGAGCTAAACCGGCTTTGGCAACCAGTATTTTCAATAGCAGTTCTTAAGGCATGGGGTTGGGATAGTTAGAAGTACTCAGTCCCTGCTGGACACATGTTAGGAGGTAGATCTTTATCTCTATTGGACATCTGAGGAAACTGAGGCTCACAGGACCTCTGTGACAAAGGTATTAAATGGAGGAGCCAGGGCACAAGCTAAGGTCAGCTTGACCCAAAGCATTCATCACATCATGCCTCCCCACAGGTCACTTAAACTCTCAGGTTTATACAATATCTCATTGGTCTAGGGAGGCACAGTGCACACAGACACTCGCAGTTTGCAACGTGGTTGGCAAATTGCGGCTCGCGAGCCACATGCAGCTCTTTGGCCCCTTGAATGTGGCTCTTCCACAAAATACTGGAATAGGCCTGGGCGAGTCTATTTTGAAGAAGTGGCATTAGAAGAAATTCAAGTTTAAAAAATGTGGCCCTCAAAAGAAATGTCAATCGTTGTACTCTTGATATTTGGCTCTGTTGACTAATGAGTTTGCTGACCACTGGTCTAGGGGATTTAAAATCAGCACATATCGCTTTTATAATGTGGAAACAAATCAACAATATAAATGTTATACTAAAAATACTATACATATTCACAAAGTGACAATTCTGAAGACTATTTCCTCAAAAGATGCAGGACCATGAACATGACCTTTAAGATCTCAAGCTGGTGTATTTGAGCATTCTTTAAATTATATATATATTGTGTGTGTGTGTGTATATATATATATATATATATATATATATATATATATATATATAATCCTAAGTCTTGGAAAACTTTTGTGAGCCTTGTAAATTGTGCAAAATTTATTCATCTGAGAAATACTTATTGAACACCTGCTTTTTGCTGGGTAACGTGCTAGGTGTTGGCACATGGGAGGAAGCTGTCTGAAGGACTTTCTCCGAAGGCCACAGCCGGGAAAGTCTTTGAGGGATGTGTACAGAGGGAGAGAGAGGGCAGGAGAAAGTATCCATCAGCATAGCCCTAAAGGTTCTGGCTCCCTACATCAAAGGACTGTGTCCGTCTTTAAGCCTTCCACAAGAACTTCTAATATGTCTGAGGCTCCCAGACATCCCTCTGGAAATGTCATACAACTTAAAACCTATAAACAAATGCATTCCTACCCAAACCGACCAGGTAAAACAAATGCTTTGGAACCTCCCACAGTGCTATTGTCCTCCGTGGGGACACAGTGGTCCGGGCGCCTGCATTCTGGGCGGTGCAGTATCTTCGCCTGACTCCCAGGAAAAGGGTTCTCAGCAGAAAGGCAGCTGGGAGGAGGCCCTGCCCTCTGGCTCCCTGAGTCTTTGGCCAAGCCCACCTCCTCCTGCTCTAGAGAAGCTCAGATCTCTCAGCAGATTGACTTCTCATGCCAAGGCCACTGTATCTGAGACTGTAGGCTACGAGGTAGGTCAACTAGAATTTTTACCGACTCAGATTTAGCTTCAGCTGATACAGTAAGGTTCAACGAACTCTCCTTGTGAATTCTGTCTCATGAGGACGAAATACCAAGGAAGAGCTGAGGAACTGGAGCCAAAAAGGGTAGACATTGGCACAACAATGTGTGTCCTTTGTTCTGTGAATCGAGTAGCTTGGTAACATTTCAGACTACAGATTCAAGAGGAAGGATGTGTTGGCTATGGTTCTGAGGTTGGGTGTCCCTCCGTGGAGATTCATCTTATTTAAAACATGATACCACCCTCTGTAGTCATACGCACTTGTTTTTGTTTTCTCCTCTCCGAAAATCACAACTACATGACCCTCAATATAGTTTTTAAGACTATAAAAATAGTGAATAAATGGATTCTCTGCCAAAACCGGTTTGGCTCAGTGGTAGAGCATCGGCCTGTGGACTGAAAGGTCTCGGATTTGATTCCGGTCAAGGGCATGGACATTGGTTGGGGGCACATCCCTGGTAGGGGGTGTGCAGGAGGCAGCTGGTCGATGATTCTCTCTCATCGATGTTTCGAGCTCTATCCCTCTCCCTTCCTCTCTGTAAAAATTCAATAAAATATATATTTTTTAAAAATGGACTCTCCCTCCAGTATGCTAATCACTGTTTTAGTTCATGCTAACAGAAGTAATAGCTTAATAACGGTAACTTAACTGGAGAAGGTCAAACCTTTCATTTCTTTAAAATTAATGAATACAAATCGCCTTTTCATTAGATTTTAATGCTGTAATGTATATGTCACGGATAATTGCTGCGATGACTACAAAGGACTTTAGAAACACCTATTTACTTAGTTTCGGAGTTTTCAGAACCCAGACACAGTGTCTAGCGGCTATGACACTAGGAGGAACACGTTATTTTCCAAGAGCAAAAATGGTTTCTCCTTTCCCCAAGTACATGATTTTCTTCTGAGGAGCTCCTCGCCGCCCGGCACAAACCCATCTGGATGGATGAATGCCGGAAATGCGGAGGACACGCAGCCTCCGAGATGCTTATTCTGGTTGGGAACCCCACCAGGAGACTTCCCTGTGTTATCTGCCACAGCTATCCCACGGCGGGGAGGAAAACACTCGCCGGAAAACAATGAGAAGACGAAGACAGCTGTGGGAAGCTTGCAAAGTTCTCAAGACAAGCCCCTCAGCCCAGCCCGTGGCTCTCAGAGGAGGAAGCACTGATCACTGGGCCATGGAGTTCGGAAAAGGATGCCAGGCGCCAGGGCAGCCCGGCCGGAGGAGGGAGTCCCACGGGGCGGGTCCGGGCCATCGGGCATCCTTTGGGGCCCGGCGACCCCGGCCCTGCCCGCGGGAGCCCCGCGCCCCGGGGGTGGCCCGGGCAGCCCGGGACGCGGGGTCCGCAGCCTCCGGGCGCCGCCAGCATCTCGGCCCGGCCCCCGCGGTGCCCCCGCCACCCTCCAGCCCTGCCTCTCTCCCTCCGACATCTTCCCCTTCCCCGGAGCCCGGAGGCGGCAGGAGAGGGGGAGCCAGCCTCCGCCGCGGCTGGAGGGCGAGGGGCGGGCGAGGAGGCGGCCGGGGAGCCGGGAGCCATCCCCGCCTGGAAGGATCGCCCGCAGCCGGGCAGCGGCCGGGGCCGGGGGTCGGGGACGTTCCTCCTCGGGCCCCTGGCGGCTGGGAGCCCAGCCCTCGCCGAGCCCGCGGGCGCTCCCCCTGCATCCACCGGCGGAGGGAGGAACAAAAGAGACCTCCGGCCCCGCACACACCGGCACCCGGGGCGGGCGGGCCGTGCGTTTTGGGCATCTCCTGTCTCCACCGTCCCCACCTGAGCAGCCTCTCCCCCAAGGTGAGGAGAGGAGAGGAGAGGAAGGAAGAAAGACCTCCCGAGGCGGCGATCGGTCGCTCGGACGCCGTTCATTTCCCATTCGCTTCTCCCGGCTGCAACCGGGAGGATCCCGCAGGACCCCGCGCCCCCGCCCCGGCCCGCTCCCCTCCTCCAGGGACCCCGCCGAGGGCTCCGGGGCCGGCAGGGCGCTCCCGGGCCCCCTCCCGCAGCCCCGGGGGTGGGGGCGGCGGGCGAGCCACGTGGGACCCCACTCCCAGCCCGGGGGCCGCGGAGCCCCCGCGGCCGCCTCCCCGCCCCCCGGGGCGCCCCTCCGCCTCCCGCCCTCCCCCACCCCCTCTGCCACAGGCACCCCCGGTGCCCAGCAGACATGTTGCTGTCACTGACGGACGCCTCGGCTTCGGGGGAGCCGCTTACCCGGGCGCCGGGGGTGCGGGCGGGGGCGCGGGGGCTCCGGGGCGCGCGGCGGGCGGCTCGGTCCTCCTAGCGGAGCCCGCTCGCTGCCATCCGTCCTCCAACTTCAGCACCCGGCGGGCAGGAGAGAGGAGAGGGCGGCGAGGATGCGGGAGGCGGGGAGGCGGGAGGCGGCGGCGGTGGGCGGGGAGGGAGGAGGGAGCGGAGCCCGGGCAGCAGCGCGCATGCGTCTCGCGGGCGGGCTCGGCCCCTTGCCGGGCTGGGTCCGTGGGGCCTCTTCCCCCCCCCCAATCCCCCCACTCCCATCCCCCCACCGCCACCCATCCCCGCCCCCCGCCCCGCCCTCCCGCGTGGGGCCGCGTGAGTCACGCCCCGCCCCTGCCCCGGCCGCCGGGCCCCCTCGCTCCCCCGGCTCTGCGCGCACAGGGCGGGGGTCTGGGGGGGGTGGCGGGAGGAGGGTCTCCGGGGGGAATCCGGCCCCGGGAGACGCCGGCCAGAGCCTCTCGGAACCTGGAAACCTGGGCGTCTGCCCCGATGAGAGGCTCTGGCGCCCGGGCTGCTCCAAGTTCAAGTTCCCCCGCAGCCCGTTATTCCGTCCTGCGCTCTAGGTGGCCGCCCGGCACCGGAGCGCCGCTTAAGGGGCAGCACAGCGGCGGGTCCGGGAGGGGTAGGGGCATGGGAGTGGGGAGGGAGGGGCGTCAAGAACTTGGGACGTGAAGCACCCTATCAGAGGCTGAACTTTGGGGAAAGTTCTTGACTTCGTAGACGTCCTCCCCCAGAAAGCGGACACGTCCCCTAAGGTTTATTTTCGGGTGGGGCTGTGGTGGCCAGAGTTTTGACAGGGATGGCCATGCAGAGGTAAGAGTCTAGCCAGAGTGACAGACGGAGGTGTTGACGCCCGGGGCCTGGAGCATCCTTCAGGGACAGGGGCAGGGACTCAGGGGAGCTCACATCTGAGGATTGTTCCATTCGCAGGCGGAGCCTCGCTGGGCGGCCAAGGCTGTGGATGCTTAATGCGTCCTGCGCGCTAGATTGCATCTCCCGTGATTAGATTGAAGTGTTTGTGTGAGGGAGAGTGACGGAAGCGGGTGGCTCTCTTCGGATGTGTCATCTGTGGGAAGAGGAGTGAGTTCCTGGCAGGGATGATTAGGCTCCCCCCCGCCCCTTATATCTATTTAAAACCGATCACTCGTAAATATATACGATTTTCCGTTGCTGGTGCGCTCATGCATTCCAACTGTGTTAGGATTGCTTCAGACTCCTTTAGCGAACATCCTTCTGCACCTCCCCCCTGCCCCTTACCCCCTTGAGTTCAGTCTGTGTCAGGGTTTGCTCCAGGGCCTCTTTCTCTAGTTACATGATGAGTCCTAGTGCTCTTCAAAGTGTCTTTCCTGAGCTGGTGCTCTGCAAATGGTTCCTTACTGGTCTGTAATGAGAGAGACATGCAAGAAATGGAGAGAAAAGTTGGGAACGTCTATAGCAATTTGACATTGCCCGAGCATCCATGCACATTAGTCCCTTGCGCTTTGTACGTTTTATTTTGTTTGTAAAATAATTCGTTTTTGTTGGATTTGACCAAAGGGTTGGTCCATGATGCACCAAAAGCTGTCCGCAGCACTGAGTTCTCCAAAACCCTAGCTGTGGAGCATCTGTCCCGATTGCTCCCAGAAGGCTTTTGTGTTCTCAATGCCTTTGCAACTCTGCTTGAAGAGTAACTAATAGTGAACATTTAGTGAACAAGTACTGCATGCTAGGTATGGACCTGTTTGGCATAAGCTTTTTTATTTTTGTGTGAGGTGGATACTATTATTATGTGTAGCAGACAGCTCAGAAGTAGAGCTATCCACCTCCTCCAAACCTGTTCCTCTTCAAACGGTTCCACCTGGTTCCTCAAGTCAGAAATTTAGGTCACCCTTGTTTCCCCTTTCTCTCCTTTTTTATTAATTTCTTTTCCAATGACAGTTGACATATAATGTAATATTAACTTGAGGTTTACAACATAGAAATTCTTAATTTTGTTCCTTTATTTACCCCCACATCCAATTAATGTCGTCTCCTCCTCCAAAATATATCCGCGATTCACCCACTTCTCCTCTCTCTGTTGCTATAAACGTGGCCCAAGAGCCTCTGTGCTCTCTCACCTGAACGGCCACACAAGCCTTCAGATGGTCTCTCCTCCACAGTCCCGAGCAACACATTCCTTTAACAGCAGCAGAGTGAGCTTTTAAAAACATAACCAATCATGTGATGCTTCTGCTTAAATCTCTCCAATGAGTTTTCATTGCGTTTTACGTAGAATCCCTAATTCTAACCACAGCCCCGAAGGCTCTACCCAATCTTGTCCTCGCCTTGTCCACACTCCTATACACCATGGGTATGTGTGCTGTGGTCATCTCTGTCTATTTCTTTTACTTTTTGAATATGTCTAGCTTATACATGCTGTTCTTTCTGTCTGGAGTGAGAGAGGGGGAAAGAAAAAAGAGAGAGAGAGAGAAAGAGAGAGAGAGAGGAGAGAGAAAGAGAGAGAGAGAGAGAGAGAGAGAGAGAGAGAGAGAGAGAGAGAAGAGAAAGAAACATCAGTGATAAGAGAGAATCATTGATCTGCTGCCTCCTGCACATCCACCACTGGGGATTGAACCCAAAACCCAGGCATGTGACCTCCTGGTTCATAGGTTGATGCTCAACCACTGAGCCACACTGGCCAGGCCAGGCTTTATTTAACCACTCAATCTACTCTGTCCCAGAGTTCTCTGTTGGAACCCTTGCTTTATTTTCTTTGAAATACTTTTCACTATCTGAATCAGCTTACATTTGTTTACTTGTTTATTATTTCCTCCCCCGCCCCCCTAAAATTAATGGTCTCAAGAGCTTTGCCTGCACTCTTGTAGACTACTTGAGTCTACTAGTTTATCCCTAGTGCCTACAACAAGATTTGGCATTGGCACACTGTACATACTCAGTAAGTACTTAGTGAGTGAATGAATAAGCAACACACTTAGAAGTATTTAGTTTTTCTCCTGATGCTCTTCCATTTTGCTGCCGGTCAGAACCTGCTGCTTCTCAGAAGGGCACAGGTGCACCCCATTGTTCCTGCTGCCACTCCAGCAAAGAGGGCTCCAGGCAGTGCACACTCTCTGCCTAGATGCCACATTGTTGTTCCGAGAACCAACCTCAAAACAAGCTCACCAGATAAAAAGCATACTTCCACGAACTTCCCCAAACTGTCACTAAGGCCATTTGGGCAAATGTTTGCACCTATGGCAACTTGGCTATTCTGCCAACAATTTACTTGCTAAAGTCAAATGTAATCTTTTGGGGACTTACTTTCATGTGTAAGACTGTTGTGTAATCCTTGATGTGTTAGTCAGGATCTCAGACGATAGTCTAGGAACTCAACTTGCCTGTGATTTGAGTGTCCAACAGGTGTGTGGACCGGACCACAACTTTAATGACCTTGACCTCGTAGAGATTGATCACCTACAGCCCTTGCGTATATATGGTTCTTACAGCATATCTGCAATGCCAATGGCATCTAATGATAACCACACCAATATTTCAACTCAATAAACCTCATTCATGTCTACTATATGCCTGGTATTATGTCTTCAAGCTTTTTGCAAAAAATATAAATGTTATATAAAATTACTATCGATGACTCAGGAGTGGATTTCCGCTCTCTTTGTGCAGAATTTCAGAGCTCACTGGGTTTCTGGTCCTTGAACAGCTGTGTGGTAACTATGAAAAGCAGCATTTCGTCACCATCATTTCCATGCCATTATGAACTTGTTTTTCAAAGTAAAGAGAATGTACAGCAGATTTTGGTGTAATGACTTCATAGTAAGGCACATGGGAGAGTTACAGGCAAGCTCTTTGCAGAAAGAAGATATTGGAAAAGGGCAGAGCATCAACATATTTACAGTGCATTTACTCATAATTTGGGATATTTGTTATCATGAGGAGACCTGAATCTACCTCAGTGAGTTTGGTACCCTTGAAAGGTCATTGCAGGAAGATATTATGTAGTATTTTTTATATTTTATCTCCTTCTTTTCTCACATGCTCATTTTAAAAAACAACTGAGCTACCTTTAGAAAGCAAAGGGAGAATGAAGAAATTTGTCTGAAACTAGGAACCCCCGACTGCTTCCTCCAAGCAAATTTCTCCAGAGTGAAGCATGAAGGGATAATTAAAATATGACTGTTTAAACACACTGCTTCTTTACTTTTAGGAAACAGGGCTTATCATGTTTCTTCAACTGGTTTTAATCAAACCTTAGAGACAGGCTTTTCCCAGGAAACTTATTTAGATGGAAAATGCTTGTGTTTCCTCATCAATATTTGAAGAAGATAAGAGAAAGAAAAGAAAAGGCAACCTGCCTCCAAAATATATAAAATAAGTTTCATATTTTATATGTACTTTATTTTTTAAATATATTTTTATTGATTTCAGAGAGAAAAGGAAAGGGAGAGACAGAAACATCAATGATGAGAGAGAATCATTGATCAGCTGCCGCCTCTAAGGCCCCACATTGGGGACAGAGCCCTCAACCAGGGCATGTGCCTTGGCCAGGAATCAAACCTGGACCTCCTGATTCATAGGTCAATGTTCAACTAATGAACCGGTTGGGGCTGTATTTTATTTTTTAACAAATCACTACTTATTAATGTTCTCTTAATAGTTTAATTTATCAGCATAGGACTTAAAGAGCTCAATATTATTCTTTTAGAATAGCATGAGTGCATTTATAGCTCAACATAATTGGATAAGTTTATAGAAGTAGATGTAAACAACTTTATGTGATTTTTATTGGTTTCATCCAATTTTGTATATCATACATTCCCACGTCGGCATGACAGTATAGAGTTGGTTCTGAGTCAACCTAAATAATTTATAAAAGTGATTATTAGATGGATCTTGTATTCACATTTTTTAACATGTCTGTCACACAATGTTGGACAATAATTCTCTGCTCTGTCTTGAAAAATAACAAAATGTTTATCTTACCCTGGAGAAGGTGATGTGCCATTATTACAGCCTGATTCTTTGTGGGTGGAGAAAGTTACAGAATTTAAGGGTCCTGGTTATATTGTGTTGAGATGGTTGGAGGTTTGTGGATGA